TACCACTATACATTATGTATAATATAGCATACTTGACATATTTGCGATTCTATACTATACATATATAATATAAATTCAATTTGAATACTGCCAATTTTTTGAAAAAAGTATACTAGTTTTTTTAAAAAATTCTAAAAACTAGCAAAAATATAGTAAAAGGTATAGTTGCAAATACTTTTAAAAAGTTTGTTAAAAAGCCAAAACTTTAGTTGTTTCTCTGTGTTTTTTTAAAAGTATAATTCAAGAGCTTTGTTAACAGAGAAAAATTTTTCTTTTCTATTTTACAAAATTTTTTATACAAAAGCACTACTTGCTAGTTATCTTGTATAACAATGCTCTTGGTTTGCATGCTAAATATTTCTTATAAAAAAAAAAAATATTGATTTCTAAACAAACTACAATATAGTATTAGGCCACAACTCTTTAACAAAAATTATAATTTTTCTTTGATGGAAAATTTTAGTATAGGTAATTATCAAAAAGAGTTAAATGTTAAAATTTTGCTATATTGCTTTTTAAAGTTTGTATTTTCTTATAATTTTATGATTTATTATAAGGTTTATAATATAAAAATTAATTTTTCAAAAATCTTTTGTTTTGTTAATTTGGTTTTTTTTTGTAGCATCTAATCTATTTTATATTTAATTTTAAAAATTTAATTAATTAAAAGACTTTAACACTACAATACTATAAATTAAAATTAGATCTTTTTTAGTATAACTGGGAAATATAGAAATACTATAAAATTATAATATAAAAAAACTTTAACCCTAACCCTAAGCTAACTTTAATATAAATTATAAGCTCACTCTAACTATTCCCAAATTTGCTTAAATTAGACTAAATAGTTATTTATTTATATTATAATCTTATAATAATTCTATATTGTCTAGTTATACTAAAGAACAACCTTAAAGTCTTTTAAATATTACTATATTAAACCAAATTTTATTTAAATATTTTAAATTTTAAAAAATATACAGTATATATTATAAACAAATTTATAGCAATTTTCTAGAAAAATTGCTATAATTTAAAAAAGAATATACTATAACAAATTTCTCTTTATAATTACATAAAATACAAAAAGTATTCTGTATTTTTGTATATAGGATCTTTGTCTTGAAAATAACTATGTAGATTTTATAAATAAAAATTAAAATTTTTAGCCATCTAATAAAGAAAGTGTCATTTATCAGCTGATTTTTCATAAATAGTAAAATTTTCCCCTCCCTCAATGATTATACCTTACCCCCTTTTTGCGTACCCCCACTCAAAATACCCAGGTACTTTGGTCAGTGTAGTATAATATTTTGGTACCCACTTCTCTGCTAAAAAATCAGATGATAAATGACATTTCCCTAATCCAATTCAAATAATTACAAAATAAAAAAAAATTTTAATTGGATTACTGTATAGCTAGAAAATTTAACTTTTATTCATAAAATCTACATAGTCCTGTAAGGTCATTTTCAAGGCAATTAGTATGTTTTATTTTAAATCTAAGCCTTTTAAATAAAACTATTAAAAAAAAAATATATTGTATATAGTGTGTTTAATACTACTAGTATAATTTATTAAAAAACAAAAAAATTCTTTGAACGCTAAACATAGCTGGTTTTAACCAACTGTGATGTCGCATTTTAATATTAGAAATAAAAGTATATATGGGCTACCATCAATAGAAATAAGGCAGATTGACATTTTTAAAAAAAAAATCAATACCTTAACTTTCACAACTCGTATTTCAATGAATTTTGAAGTTATCTTGATGTTTAATATTCAAAAGAAAGCTTAGATCGTAAGTTTTCTTTTGACTATTGAATCATTAAGATAACTTCAAAATCCATTGAGATACGAGCTGTGAAAGTTAAGGTATTTAATCTGCCTTATTTCTATTTATGGCAGCCCATATTTTATCGACCCTCAACCCTGTATGGTACAAAAAAATGGGGTATATAAATCATGATTATATAATGCATTTTTTATTTTTGCTTTCACCCACGTTCACAGTTTACACATAACAACGCGCGTTAAATTTACAATCTCAAAAAATTTTGGTTTGTTATTTTGGCATTCAATTTCGGACACTCAGTAAACATGAACTAACAACAATTGCCCATTGCTTATTCACGTAAAAAGTTGGCTCAGAAATGGTATCCGAATATAACCGTAATGGTGATACTCAATCGATGTATGACGAAAGTGAAACAGACACTATAGAAGGAAAAGAAGAAGAGTATGTCGTTGAGAAAGTGCTGGATCACAGAGAGAACGGTGTAAGTTGGCTTAAGCACTTAATAAACTAAAGTTCATTTTGCACAACTAAATATCTAACATTGAACGCGTTATTGTCAGAATACTATGCAGTTCCTTTTAAAATGGGCTGGATACGATAGTGAAGACAATACTTGGGAAGAAGAAGAAAATATGTGTGTACAATTTATATTTGTTGGCTTTTGCTTTTTAAACTCCTTAAAAGCTAAGGATACATGCATCTAATTGATAAACGGACAGATACGCAAAGGATCTAATTGAAGAGTATTGGGAGAGACAAAAGAATAATAAATCCACCAACAAAAAAGGATTGTCAAAACTTGAAAAACAACTTACCAATTCAACGAAAAAAACTACAAATGCATCCCAACATAAGACTGCACGAAAACGCAAATACATGGAACAAGATTCTCACGATAGCGATTATTCAATCGATGAAGAATACCCTCCACCATCATTAACTAATTGGGAAGATGAAGTGGAGGAAGTCGAAACGGTTGAGCGAAGTATAAAAGACAATGGCGGACTATTGATATACCTCAATTGGTACTGTTGTACTGGTATGGTTATATATGTTTATGCTTGTCACGTAGGTAACTTGAAAATCTTTTCACTACTTAGGAAAAATGGTCACAGAACAGTACATCCTGCGGCGGAAGCGAATTTGAAATGTCCGCAAAAAGTATGTTTTATGAAATTTTTATTTGATTTTTTCAATATTTCTAACAAATTCTATTTAGATTATCCATTTTTACGAAACTCATTTGAGATTTAAAAGCACATAAAAGTTACGTCGAAATGGATTGATGTTATTTAGCCTGTACATCTTTCGAGCATATTTTAGATAAGAAATGATAAACTTCAATTCTGATTAAATAAATGTGAAAAGACAAATTCATAGAATCGTAATATTCTATTAATGAAATTTATAAATGTATCTAAAAGTGACTTTGAAACAATAGTTAACAATGCTTGCCAATCATAAATAATTAGTATCGTGAAAGGTAATAAATAATTATAGGTAAATTCATTTTACTCAATACGAGGGGTAGAGGAATTTTGCGACTCATTTCTGATTGAATTGGTGGTCGAAAGCGGTTGTACTTTGTGACGTTGTTTTCCGTGATTATCCAACTGTTGCGAATGACTCTCTGTAGATTCTGTTCTCTGTGTTTCTAAATCTAACCCATAAAGTTCTTCGGAGTTCCTTGTTGGAAATGAATCACCAAGTTGACGACGACGAAGTCTATAAACTATTTCATCCAGTGTTAATTCAATTTGGCAGTGATTCCTAGTGATGGAAATTTCTTTGGAAAGTCAAGAATAAAGAGCAAAGTTGAATTATTGCGCGGGTCTTATGTAACCCGTGCTTTTTTCATTTATTTATTGGCACGGATTGTACGTCAGACACTGTGCAATAAGTTAGTTATTATACGGGTATATTGAATAACCCAGTTACATACCCATGCAATAACTATAGAATATTGTATATTAAAATTGATATGGAAGGATACTAGGCCATGTGGCCCTTTCACCTCTTAAAGTAGCCTCTTGAACCAACTCAGAAGTGGGATTAGATAGGATTCGAAAAAAATCAGTATAAGAAATGTTTGGGACAATCGTGATATCTCCATAATATCGTTGCGACATGATAGCTTTTGTTCGATACAATAAGCTCGGCATAACACCAAATTCACTCAGCTTAATTGTATTAATGCTTTAGTTTAACTATTGAAATACAACAAGAAACACTAATCAAAGTATCTCACCTGAGTTAGTCTGTGTTCTAATTCCGAAATCGCAAAAAGTAAACACCACCCAATCAACCGGCTAACTGGCGAAGGAATCAGCTTCTTTTGTAAAAATGGTACCACATGGGGATTCACTTACAAACAAGAGTAATTTAGAACCGGAAAGGATAGAGTGTTTATATCATAAGACTACTGATAATTACCTTGACACACAATAAAATGGTTTACATTAAACAGCTCAGAAAGTCTATTCATTGGCAAGTCACTATTCAATTAATGAAAATATCAATTAGAATGTTACACGTTACCGATAAAAAATAAAAATATAAAATATAATAAAAATAAAGATAAGAGCACAATATATTTACGCACTTCTCAACCGATCCATCAATCCATCGATGACCTTGACACGCGTATCAAAAGGTTATCAGCACTATATAAAATTTTTAAGCCCACGAAAAGATGTTGATAATCACCTGAAGGGTTCCATGGTACTACTTTACCCGTTTTATCCTTTGCCATTAATTGAACAGAATTATATACGCAAGGAACAGAGCAAGATGCTGCGCTGTAAATAGGTGAGACTTCAATAATATAATTAATGAACTCGCCATCCGGTCTTTGCATAAAAGGCACTTACACGGCAGACCAAATCAACTTTCATTACGAATATAATAAATGTATGGTGTAAGCGCACGTAAAATATCTGGTGTATATTACTATTGGAATATATCCTTTATACTTACCACGTCAGGAGCCGTCAGATAGTTAAGAAGACGTGGCATTTCATATACTGTAGAAGTGCTTACAGTAATATTCAATATTCTTCTAGTTCTGTTAAACGCTTCCTATGGTAAAATTTAAATTTGTTCCATTAAAGTATTGTATAAAGGGTTATAATGATCATTGTTTTTATAAAAATAAAATAAACCTGAAAAGTCATATCTGGAATATTCCGGCGCATGCATTCTTTCAAAATGTCAGCATCGAAGAACGCGCCTGCACGAATATGAATATATTAAACTTCGAACTTGATAATGATATTGTTTTAGTAGATCTTTGGTTACCTTGCTTGAAAAACCTATTTATTCTCATTAACCATGTTTCTGGCTCTGACGATCTCTCAAATACCTCCTATGTAATTGCAAATTTCAATAAAAATCGATTATTTTCAGATAGAATTAAATATAATTCATACCAAATGATGTCCAGAAGAACTAAGTGATCTCAGAGTTTCAGGAATTTCATCGTCCGTCTTTGTGCATAAAATAGCAGCAAAAATCGATCCACTTGATGCACCAGAAATGATGCGAGGTAAGAGATTACATTCATATAGACACTTGATCACTCCAATATGGGTAAGCCCTATTTCACAGCAATTACACATTACAAACCAAATTTATATTTATGGGTTGCTAATTTCCACGTACCAAATGTAGCTCCTCCACTCAACAAAAGGGCAGTCCTTCCAAAAGACTGCCTCGTGTTAATGAAAAATTCAAGTTTGTCTTTGGTTGATATATCGTCAGATTCCGTATCACATATGATATTCATTTGTTTTACTACTTCGGCGATATAACTTTCTATTAATTTTTTCGTGCCAATATGTGTATATGCGTATAACTATATAAAGGTTTGATAAACGCGCTGCTCGGTAAATGAATCAAATCAAAAATATTTCAGGAAACTATAATTTACCTTTGGCTGACCCATATCACCTAAATTTCTTGCCAATGAAGTTTTTAATAAAAATGTCATGTGTGATAAATCGCCAGATTTACGCGCTTTTTTAAATTGTTGGAGACGTTGTTGCAACAGATCATAATCATAGTCAGGTGATTTTGCATCGTTTTTCCATTGATCTTTCCCTTGAAAAGTTTATGTAGCGATCAAAATCGATAAATAAGATAATTTCAAACAGAAGGCTGCAATTTTGCGGTTAAATATTATATTACGATTTGGATTTATACCTTCGAGCTGATCCAAAATTTTTGCTGCTTCAGACCATTGTTCATAATTACTAGCAACGTCTAATAAATGTTTGTAGTAGGCTCGTGGGTCTCGAGGTAACAGTACAGCACCGTAAAGTTTCTAAATTGCAAATTAATATGTTAAACATTTGTATAATATGTGCGAACATAACTTTGTTATATGTACCTTTGCCCAGTAAGAAGACACATCAAAGGCTACTGACTTGATTCCAGAAAGCAGTGATGATGACGAAGAACGATTATTCACTTGCGGTTCAGTGTTTTGATCAGGACTTGGAACATTGTAATCAACTGAATCTTCTAGGTTTGATGTATAATTATTATTTTGCGGTGCCATCGTCGATATTTCGTTTTCACATGAATCTTTCTTTTTTTATAGATTTTTTTACTTTATGCAGTAACATGTGATAATCTAGATTTAGATTTACACATATCTACCCACTGGGTTATGAATTATATCCCCGTTTTTTAGCAAAATTTATATCTCCACCCTAGTTATCTGATAAAAAAGGTGATATAACTGGTAATTAAGTCCTATTATATGGGTAACGTAATGGTTAGGGATGTTAAATGATCTACTTAAACTTATCCGACTCCAGAAGTCGAGTCAGTACCAAACACAGACTTGAGTTTTT